GGTTCATCCCAGGGTAGCTTTTTCTTAATGCACAGGTTGGCTCCCAGCCACTTAGTGAGGAGGTCCTGTTGGGGGCAGGAACCTCTGGCAAGCCAGCCCTGTGTCCCCTCAGGACACAGGGGTAGTTTTCACTGATGCTCAAACTCATGTCATGTCTCATATGGCTACACGCAAGCAAACTTTACTCATGGAAGGGATTTACCCATAGCCAACTAGGTCTGTCATCCCCTCTGTGCAACAGGCCTCTGAAGGCCTGAATCTGTAACATGTGTGGGACTTTTGCCAGAGTAAGGTCTGAGGGCAAAACACCTGAGCCAGAGTTCAGGATTTGGCCTCTATCTTAGAGGAGAGCCATAAATTCTGGGGGAGTGAGGGAACAGACAGCTGCTGATTAGGATTTCCTAGCAGTGTGGCAGCAGAAACTGGGGGAGGGATGGGTGAGAGCAGTGATAAGAACATCAGCCTCTGCTGTGCTAGCAGTTGTCCCTGCTCACAGGTTATATTCTTTTTGATTTGTAAATATGACTTCTCCCTGACCTTGGGTGAAGTTCCCTGTCCTCCTTCCGAAGGCAGAGTGAACCAGCTGTATCTGGATTTGTGCTGCTGATGTGACTCTGCTGGGCACGGACCAATTGGCCCCGGAGACAATTAGATACTCTGGCATCTCCAGGTGATAGGGCTGATCTCAGGGCAAACACCAATAAAGTGACAGGCCTGAGGTTTGGTGGAAAGAAAATGAAGTGAGGTGTGCAGGCTGTGGGGTCACCTGGGTCACCAGTTTGTTTGTCCCAAGTCCGAAGATTAAACTGGAGAGCCTGCATGCTCCAGAGGAGAGCCAAGCTGGGAGGCCAAGGAGCAGCAGCTCTAGGGGGATGGAGCTCAGGGGCCTTGTTTGTACATACTGGTCCCGCGAGTGAGCACCATTTGGGTGGGAGCTGGGGTTCAGCTGGAGGTGTTCTTGGGAACAGCTAGGCCTGAGCTTGACTGCACCGGGGGCCTTGCTTAGGGCCTGAGCAGTGTTTAAAGTCCGATCAGATTGCTGCAGTTGATTTATGATTCATTAGCCATTGGTGCAGCCGCCAGTTAATGAGCAATGAGAGGTCAGCAAGGCTGTGCTGGAGGGAGAGGGCAGGAGGAGGACTCCTGAGAGGTCAGGCTGAGGCTGGCAGGTTGAAGCCCTGCAGAAGGAGTGGGTTTCTCTGAAGACAAGCACATTTGGTGTTGTGCTCTCTGCACCAGATGGAGGGCTCCTTGTGTGGGTGCAGATGCTCAGAGAGATTGGGCCACGTTAGCGGCACCCCACATCTCGCAGCCCAGGAGCTCTGAGAGGGCTGAGTCAAGCTCATGTCTAAGACAAGCTCTAGCCAATGAGGAAACTGAGGCAGGGAGCAGGGGGTTGACTCAGTCCCCCTGGGTATGTTACAGTGGAGCCACTGAGACAGCCTGGCTCCATCCGGTGCCTTGACTACAGGCCGCTCTCCTTGTGGCTCGCATGCTTGGAGGGAGAAAAACTGTGGGTGGGGAGGGAAGTGAAACTCTTGGCTGGCTCCCCTGGAAGGGCTACACTGCTGCTCTGGAGCCTGACACTCAGGAGGGGAGACTGTGAGTATAACAACCGGGTGCCAGTCAGCCTCACTCCCCAGCAGCCAGGGAGAATTGAGCCCAGGTGTACAGGCTACCTGCTGCCTTGTGCTGAGCAGGAGGAAGTCAGTGCAGTGTGCCCAGGTGAAGGGCAGAGGGAGTTGTTGAGCTGCTGGGAGCCTGAGGCCAGGGGGAATCTGCTGAAACAGGGTTTGAACCCCAAAGCCTCTTGCTCCTGCCTTGCCTCTGCACAGGCTCAGTCAGTCGGCAGAGAGGGGTATGCAGGCAGGGCCTGGCAAGGGAGCTGCGCTCGGTGCTGGGCACGGGGTATTCGGCGTCATGGAGCGTTCTCCAGTAGCTTGGAACAGACCCCAAATGTTCTGTAGCAGGAGGAGCTGCACCGGGCTTGCCTGGAGCTGCAGACCCAAGAGTCCCTCTCAGCAGCAGTCCACGTGGGAGGCTGCTGAGGGACAGGCCAGGTGAGCTGGTGGGCAGCCTGCCTGCTCCCCAACCCATCCCACAGGCAGAGCTCTCTGGGTACCAGCTTGGCTCCCTCAGCTTGGCAGTGGAATCAGACCCTGTTTCCACACTGGCAAACCGCTGCAAAAAGGGGTCTTGGAGCTTTTCTGACCCTCCTTCCTCAATGGAGGTGTGTGCTGGGGAGGGCTGCACTGCAAGCCTGAGCCATGAGGTTCTTCTGCACATGGGGAGGGGAAAGGAGAGAGCCTATAGGCCACGGGGAGTGGAGGGGAGAGGAGAGGAGGGCAGGAAGCCTCCACAGAGGCAGGGAGAGGCACAGACCCCAGGGGTGCAGCTGCTTAACAAAGGGAGCAACAGCCTGTTTTGGTTTCAGTGACCCCTGTGACCTATTATTTCTATGCAAAGACTGGGCTGGCCTCCAGCTTTCTAGTGCAATGGCTCGTGTCCTTTCAGGGAACAGCCAGGGGCTGCAATAGGGCACACACACAGAGGGCTGCATAGTCAGAGTCTGAGGCTCAGTAGCCAGGGCACAGATGGCACACCCAGAGCTCTGGCTTCCTCTGCCCTCCATGCTCTAGGCCCCAGGCATGGAGAAAGGAGGGAATTTTCTGTTATGTGACTGAACATGGGGCTGTGCTGGGGGCTGCTCTTCTATTACAGGGGATCACAGCCGTTAGCACCCACATCTCCACAGCCAGATGCTTTCCTTCCACCGGCTGCATCTGACAGGCACCAAGCAGGGGGGCATTAAAAACAATTCCTCCCTACCAATAAAACATGACCCAAAGCCCTTCACTGCAGAAACACTGCCACCCTCCCTGGAGAAGGACAGGAGAGAGAAAGCACCAGCTGACGGGGGCTTGTCACTGCACTTATGTTGGACAGGGTTCAGGCTATGTGGTGAGGAGGAAGGGGCGAGAACCCAAATAGAGCAGCAAAGATGCTAGAACGGCTGCTTCATATGCCCCCCTACTCACTGCTCCCCAGCTGCAGGCCTCAGAAAGAAATGCCTGTTCCTCCCACCATCATACTGTTGTGTCTCCCCAGCTGGGAAAAGGGCAGTCACGGCTGGAGGAATATGCTGCACACACAGGCACACAGCCTGCCGATGTACTGTGGGGATACTGGCTTGTTTCTTGTGGCTTTTCTCCCAGTCATCAGGAGCCACAGGCCCTCACATCTCAGAAGACGAGTTGTCTTCTCTATTCAGTGGCATTAGCCATTAACACCGCTTTATCGGGGGAGATGTATGTGGAGCTGGGGGAAGAGGTTGAGATTGTGGCGTAGTAGCCCTGTTGTTGGTAAATCTCTTGTCTTTCCTACAGGTATGTGCCCAGCAGTGATGGTAGCACTGGCACATCCAAGCCCTGAGTGCACTCAGAGCTGAAGAGGAGGCTGGGCCTGTAACGTCTGGATATGGCTTGGCCTTTGGACCCCATTTGTGACTGCTTCTCTCTCTGTCTAGGTGACTCAGCTGCAGCCTTCCTAAGCTAATGTGTGCGCTGTTGAGAGGAGAGTATGGCTCTCGCATTCCTCCCTTCAGTTTCTCTGTGGGATGCAAACATTATCTCATGATTCAGTGCTCTAGCTGCCCTTGCTCCGTCTCCATGGCTGTTTCTGGAAGGCCCATCAGCTTTGATTCATGCCTTCAAGCTTGCATTACATCAACCCCTGACCCCCAGCCCTGACCCAGCAGGGTGCTGGGGTGGGACTGGCTCCCACTGGCTGTGGAACAGATGCTCCCTGCATGGTTTGGACAGAGGCGGCCATGAATCACTGCTTTAGAAAGGAGCCACAGGCCTGAGCCTTCTGAGGACATGTGGCACTGTGAGCAGCGCTGCTCACAGGTCACTCACCCTGGGCAAAGGGCACTGCCCAGGGGCCTTCCTGTTTGCACAGAAAAGTGTCTGTAGAATAACAACTCCTGGAGGAATTTGGAAGGCATCTTGGTTACAATGCATCCCTGTGGGAGCCACCTACATAGGCAGAAAAGCAGGGTTACCCCGTTCACTGCAGCTGGGGGGACGTGCCTTATGCCAGGTGAAGCTGCCCAAAACCTCACTAACCACACCATGAAGCAGTGAATGTATGTACCTCCTTGAACTTTAGGCACCTTTGTCCATAGCCAAAGACTTTCTTGCCTCTGGTTGTGACTGGGCTTTAGGTCTCTCAAATTAAGGGAGAGGCTGTACCATGTTGTTGGAAGACCTCCCAGGAGAATACGAGCAATTTTAGTCTTTCAGAAGGGGGTTTTCTTCCTATCTGATACCTCAGCAGGGTGCAGCAGGATACTGTGTTATCAGAGGGACCATCCTCTGTGAAAGGAAGACCTAGGTCCTGCTCACAAAGGCACTTGGACCAGCCTGGTTGGTTGCTACTTGTACTGTAGTATGTGCTCCCAGGCTGGATTGCTGTGTTCCCTGGAACACAGGGACAGCCCTGGGGGTACAGGGCTGGGACACAGCTTCTGGGCAGGGGCACCGGTCTTTGGAACAAATAGCTGCTGCCATCAAGTATATTGCTCTTCTCCAAAATGACCTGGTCAAAACCAGAAGCTGAAAAGGAAGCTTGTCAGAAATCACTAATGAATTTACAGTAGGCTGAAGGCTGCAGCTACACTACCCAAACAGAGCCCTGAATCAGGTGGGAGCAATGTGTGTGCTGGAAGAGGTTTGCCTCCTGGGATACTTCCATAGAGAGAGCCCCTCTGTGCCAGCACAGTCCTGTTGGGCACTCTGCACTCCAGGACCTTGTTCTGTGAATCACATGCTTCATCTCTCCCTGCTCTGTGTGCAAGCACTCCCAACACCACCATCTGGTGCCAAGGAAACACCATGTGTATTTGTGCCCCTGGAGAAGTGGGCGGCCCTGGCCTGGTGCCACTGTGCCAATGACAGCACGAGAGTTTTCACACTAACCCAGTATATAGTAAATAGCAGCTTCCACTTGGACACCATGCTTGAACCTAATCACTGCTGTATTCTCCTTATAAACTGGGCTTGTTAACAGCCACCCGCAAACTGTTTTCATTAAAACTTCTACAGAATAAGCAGCCGTGGTGTCAGAAAACCATTACAGAGAACATGTTCCCATGTCAGGCAGGCAAGGAGGGGGGGGGATGAAAAGCAGTTGTTGCTACAGTCACGTTACAGCTTGGATTTTTATGAGATAGTGTCTGTTCCATATGCTATCGTCTAGTGCCTGTGGGCTCTAAAAGGAACAAAGGGGTCAGGCTTATAACAAAAGGGGGTGAAGAGAGCTTGCAGGGAGATGGAGAGCCTGACGCAGTGAACCCCTGACTTCCGAATGTAGAGCAAGGCCAGGAGGGAGAGACCTTGGGGTGGCAGCATGAGTTTCTTTGCTCTGATCCCTCAGGCCATACAGCATAAGGAGTCTGAGAGAGAAGAGGGTGTTGCCTACATGTTCTGTAGCTCAGGGCTTGGGGTTAGGTCTTGTGGGGAGAAAGGTTTGAGGCTGCCCTCATGCCTTTCTTGCTGGGCAGAGGCATCTGCTCTGCTCTTTGGAGGCCTTGCTGCTGGGACTGCCAAGCTGCTCCTTTTTCCCAACTCAAGCATACCTGAGACAAGCTCCTGAGATCACCTGTCCAGTGGTGCGGCTTCTGTGTGTAAAGCAGCAGGGCCTGGGCTTTGGGATGGAGAGCCAGGACGCACAATTCTTGGCCCTGCATGAAACTGCGGCTTTGATTGCATCTGTTTGTGACTGGATCCAGACAAAATGCTGCCCTGGAGCTAAGCAGAGACAGAAACTTGGTCCATTTCCCTAGAAGGCTGCCAGCCCAAGAAGGGGCAGAGCAGAAGAAAGGCCAAAGAGGCTGTGGCCATAGCCCACTGTTCAGTTGTTGGCCTCCTCAGACCAAGGTCCAGAGTTTAATACCTTTGTTAGGCTGGGCAGAAGGAGGGACAGACCCTCTGCTTGGCCATGTGTGGATTTTATTTCCCACTCCCTGCTTGGTGCCATAAATCTTAGAGGCAAGGATCTGAATGCTAAGCAGTGCCCAAGGCCCTGGCATGTGGAGGGATATCTGGGGGTGACCGTAGGGAGGATAATGTAGAAGATGCAATGTTACTTCGGGCAGAGTGTGGCAAGGCTGCGACCTGGCTTTCCACAGTAGGCAGCTCTTTAAAAGGCAAGGCAATTTTCAGCATTGGGAAGGTGGTGCGCTGTGCTCCGAAATCATGGGGAGAGCCAGGATGGAATGCCTGAAAAGCTGTCTGCGTGGAATATCTCTCTCTGCTGTCTGCAAATCAAAGGTCCAGACAGACATTTCATTGTAAATAGACTCAGAAAGGCACTTGGGGTTTTTTTTAATACAAATGGCTGTTGTATTACAGTGCCAGGAAGGTAAAAAGCCAGCTCAAAATGCTCAAGCAGCAGGACCCCAAACCCAACATGGACCACCTGAGCATAGAGCTGTCCTGCATATCTCTGAGGAATACAACAGTGAGGTACAGCATAGTTCAGGTCTGCGGTCTCTCCTGTACCTTTTAAATACTGGACTCTACCACAGTCTCAATAGGAAAGTTAGAGCTTTCAACACATGAATGTTTCATTGAACTCAGGATGTTGGCACACAGTTTGTAGTCAGATCTGTTTGAAAGTTATTCTCTGCTGCTGAAGTCTCTCTCCTAGGGCTCGGTGTTTCAGCAGACACCATTCTTGTAGGAACAGGCAGGAAGTGGGGAGGGCTTCTGGTGCTAGCTTCAGGCTGAGAAGACGGGAGTTCACATCACATATTACCTATGTGATCTTGGGCAAGTCTCTTGGGTTAGGTCTTAGGCAGTGCCCAGCATCAGCAGCAGCCTCAGATGTGCCGCCTTTCTCTTCACGCATTGCCTCTGGGCACAGAAACAACACAGCTACTTTGCACAGCACCATGGGTGGGCTAATTAGCACGGGGGCATGTAATGCGCACTGCTTCCAGTTCAGGAAGCAACCCAGGGTGCTGGAGGGCATGGCCACCTGGCTGCAAAGGTTTGTGGGGTCTCAGTTTCTGTGCCTCAGTTCCTTATGTGTACTACGAAGAGACCAACACTTCTTTACCTCACACAGCCCATGTCAGAATAAATTAATAATTGACAGGTGCTCAGATACAAACAGCAACAGAGGCCAAGTAAGTGCAAAGATAGAGAGGAAGGGCTGGTACCTACTCTAGGGCTTTTTTAAATAGCTAGCTATCCCTGGGGTGCTGCCTTTCGGCAGACATTGGCAGCTGTGTGTAACAGCAGAATCCAAGGGACCTCCGGTGGTCCAAGTTCCCGAAGTCTGGGTGACACCAGTTCTCGGCTAGCACTAATTCTACCACTGGTCCAGTGCCAACAGTAGCAGTGGTGGGAAAGTGCCAGTGTAGACAGGACGTAGGTGTTTATACCACTGTGTCATCTAGACCTGCTGGCTGGAAGGCTGGATGACAGGGTGGTGAGAGGTCTGTGGCCTGTCTGGCAATCTCTGCATCAGTGCTGGAGCAGCGCCATTGCTAGACAACCAGCGGGAAAAGAGCTGGAGAGCTGTGATGCGGTTGCATTCAGTGTTATGTTGAGGGACAGCATGCCCTTCTCCAATCCACTCAGCATGTACTTATTCTAATAACTGCTCCTTGGAGAGAGAGCCCTGCGTTAAGTTTATAGCTCACAGTCCAAATCAGTCAGAGAAGGCAGCCAAAACTGCCTCTCTAAATCCCATTGCTCCCTCAGGTTTTGCTCATGATACATATTTAGGGAAATGAGAAGAAAGTGGTGGTGGAGGGGGAGGGGCCTAATCCAATTTAAGGCCCTGGCATTAGACTAGGTATGTACTTGGCTTGGAGGCGTTAGCCACAAATGGGGTCTACAGGAAAGCATTAGCCTCAGCACTTCCAGAGGAGCTGGTGTTGCGGAGGGCTGGGCATGGCAAACTATAATTAATATCTGTAAGGAATTAGAAAGGATTTGGAGAGAAAAATGTCCCTATTTTAAGTTGAATAGCAATTTGATCTCAATATCATTAAAACTCCACTTTCAAAGGCTGCTGGGTTTTTATTTCTTTTTTTTTTCTGCTTACAGAAGTCACTCACTGAGTGGAAAGGGAAAAAGAGCTTTTGGAAGCTGTTCACACAGTGCAGACAGAAGCCCAAAATAAATGAGACATGAGTGAAGAAGCAGGGAGGAGATGATGGAAGCTGTGAACATTAACACCTGCCTCCTTGAGTCTAAGATGCCAGTGATGGAGTCGGGAGACTCAGCTGTAGAGCTCATCACTACAGAGCCCTTGGGGCACCTGGGCTGCAGCGCGCTTTCTGTGTGCGCAGAACCTGAGGCATCTTTGTAGGGCTTTAGATGCCCTGGGAAAACCCTACTGTTTGCTGGGTGTTCACTTAACGCCATTTAGGAGCCAGCTTTTAACTCCTTCCTGACAGGAAGGTCAAATCCCTGTTTGCAGGGCTTCACACACTTCTCTTCCTCCCCAGGGATCAGGTATCAGAGGAATTAGGAAAGAAACAGAATCTAAATCCTTCAGTTCCTCCTCAAACTGCTTCTCATACCACAAGGTGCCTCCAGGTTAATTCCTTTCCTAGTATCTCCCCTCCTTTATCCTTAGAAAGAGGAGAAGAGTGAGATGGGATGCCCTGGAGCAAGGCCCTTCTCATCCTACCAGGAATTTGGCATCACGGATCATCCTGATTAGCACCGTCAGTGTAAACACTCTAAGCAGTCCTGACGGACGGCTGTCCATCTCCAGGCTGGGAGGCGGCAGAACCGCCCCCACCAGATCTAAACAGGGGCTTTGCTGGCTTATTGCTTTCAGACAATCCTGAGGACAGTAATGGAAGAAGGAGGTCCAGGGCAGCCGAGCATGGGCATGGGCATGGGGGTGGGAGACTAGGTGGGAAACACCTAGTCCAGCAAATGAGTTCTGGAGAGGGGTCATTCTCCCCAAACCACAGAGCCTTGCTCTGGCTTTTCCTGTCTTACATTTTTTAAAGTGTGTCCTTTTTAAAAGCTTCTGTTTTAGAAAAATCCCAACCCAACTAGCTAGTAGCTTCAAGGTGAATCCGAGGGGAGATGGGGAGAGCTGCCCAGAAACGTTTCCTTATTCTCCACAGGAAACCCTGCCAGCCCTGTAGAAAAAGATGCTGACAATCTCTCTGAGGCTTTCCCCTCTGAGGCCTGAAAGCAGTACGGGCAGCTAGTGGGTGGGAAAGACACCTCAGTTCCCTCAAGCTAATGATGAACCTCCTTTGCTCCCAAAGCAGTGCTGGGTTCCCCCTCACCTATGAATATAGCTAGATATAAATGTTCCCTCCTACCTCTACTTCTTTATGGTATGTCTATACATGTGCCCGATTGCGCAGTTATTACTGCGCAGTCATTTAGTACTTGCTAAAGCCAGGAACCACTGTTACTGCACAGTCCTGATGGCGCACAGGTAGTTTACAACCCTACTGCGCAGTAGCATCGGCGCCGTGGTTCATGCTTGCTGACACTAGGTCACCTTAGCAACAAGCTACGTCGCTGTAGCTCATCATTACAGTGATGTAGCGTCTCATGGAGACATGCCCTATGTGTTTGTGGGTTTGAACTCCACATAGAGCCGTGGCATAACCAAGGATTCCCCTCATCACCCTGCTTCTGAGAACTGTATATAGAGGAACTACCTCCAGGACATGTCAGCTCATGGTCCCTCAGCAGTCCTGAAGCTTGGTCCTTATCCCCACACAAAATAAGGTGGCCCACACTGTGCCCTCCCCTGCCCTCTCTATCTGCATTAGACTTCAGACTAAGTCAGAGCTAGTCAGGGCTTCAAATCCAGCCCTGTGCCACTTGGCTCAGGACTTCATAGCCCTTTGCCAAAGTCAATACAATCCTGGCTGCCTGCTCGGCCAATTTCAGGGCTGAAAATCCTCCGGACCTTTATTGACAGGTAGGAAATAAATAGTGTTGGAAAGATAAACAGAGTAAATACAGCTCCAGCTATTTTATTTCAGAAAGTGTTTGCACAAGGAATACACCCGTCTCGCTTGGTTTGCAAGGGAGCTGCCAGGAGCTGGGTGTGTCTGTGTGGGGAGAGGGGCCAGGACTCTACCTGCCCTGTAGCTCGGCTGAGAGAGGTGGTTGAAGCACAGGTCTGGGAGTCTGGAGTCTACTGCTGACTCGCTTCAAGACTGTGGGCAAGACACATGCCCACTCTGAACCCCTGCTTTACCAATATTCACAGAGATGCAGTCATTAGCTTTTCTTGGGCACCTTGAAATCCTTGTTCAGAAGCTGTAGGAAAGGCAAGTTGTGTTTAGTTTTGACTCCCATCCTGAGCTGTCCTTAGTCACAGCCCCCATGCCATCCTCTTACTCAGCAAGCATGATCAATTTGTGTGGTTTTCTTTAGCCAGTCCCAGTGGTGTGGCCTCAATGCCAGGGAGCTGATTCAGTATCAGCTCAGCTGTACGGTTGGGCTGGGTTGGGCTGGGTGAGGCAGCTTGGCTGCATTGCTTTGATTTTGCAAATGGCTAATTTACCCACATGAGGGCCCAAATTCAAACCTTAGGGAAGCAGTCTAGTTTTCTGAAAGATCCTGAGCACCCACACCTGTCCCTAAATGTAGTGGGAGGTGGAGGGGCTCAGCACCTCTGGGGGTCAAGCTGCTTAACTGATAGCTAGTATTGGCCTTTGTATGCTCAAAGCAGATTTCAGGGCATAATGGCTGCCCGCTTTCCAGCTTTAGCCTGACTGAGGGCCAGACATTCTGCAGAGATAAAAGCGCCTAATGAAATGATTTATCTTTCCTTTCTCTTAACTTTGCTTTCTTTTCTTTTTGAGCACCTGGCCACATGTGCCCTGTCACAGCTCTGGCTGCCAGCAGAGTCTCTGCGCCCGGAGACCATGTATGCCCGCTAATTGGCGGTGATGAATGAGGGAGGGAGCGGAAGCGTGGCTCATGTCCCAGAATAAGGGGCTTGGTGTGACAGTGACAGATCGGTCTCTCTGGGCTGAATGGGGAGGGCAGTCTGGGCTGCTCAGGCAGACACAACCCTTGGGGACCCAGAGAAGAGATTCCAAAAAACATCAGCCTCCTGGCTCCTTGTGACCCAAGCTGAGGCAGACAAGAGCAGAATCCAATTTGCAATGGCAGGTTGTTAGTGCTGAGAAGATGATTTCCCAATGCCCGTCAAGGTGCCTTTAATCTGTGAAGAAACTGCCTTGGCTAATTAACCCCTCGGTGTCTGGCCCATAGGCACGTCATGCACAGCAGTGACGAGTACGGCATGGAATCCCTTCTCATGGTGTCTGGAATGCACAAGGCAGCTGCTTGCTCCATCTCCCCCTGCGCCGTGTCCTGAGAACACAGCACCGGCTGAATCATTGCATATCTTGGATACACAAGATGTTGGCTGATTCAGCAGGCAGATTCTCAGCGGGTGTAACTCTACTGAGGTCACAGGGGCTACATCAGTTCACTGCAGCTCAAGATCTGGCCCTCGTTTCTTTAGCTTCCTGTTGGGCTCACATCAAGGGGACAGGAGGCAAGGCTGTGCGGGGGATCTGAAGTGGTTGTTCTGGTCTTGCAGTGGTGGGTTCCTGGAAGATGTTACCAGCCTGACTGCTGCTGGCTGAACCATATTAAATCAATCACGGACCTTGGTTGAGTTCCTAAGTGTATAGTTGTCATCAGTATAAAGCCATCATTGCAGTTGACACTAACTGGATCCCATGCTAATAGCCTCAGCAGGGAAACAAAGGGGCCTGCAAGCCAAGTTCCTCTCTCCCCTAGAGCTGGTTTCTCCATTGAGGGCTGAGGCCTGCGTGTTGGGAAGCTGCCCCTGTACTGTGGATACACGAGATTCCAGTCTCCGGAGCTGTCAGGATGCATTGGCTCCAGGATCAGATTCATTTTTAAATAAATACATGAAATATCCTCCAACACTCCTGCTCTCAGAAACATAACCTCTGCATGAGGCAGAAGCGTGGCTGTTGTATAATCACCCAGGTAGTGACTTCAGTTCTAGGGAACTGATGAACCTCTTACGTAATTAGGTAACTCTTGTATTAGAATCTGATACGTTTCAGAAGCTCCAGATCCTTAGGTGCTGAGAGAGGGGAGGGAATAGGCTCATTTTAGCTTGTGCCAAGAAAGCTGGCACAGGGGCTAGTTGCCTACCTGTTTAGCATCTGATCATCCTGCCCCTTGCACTGCATCCTGTAATCACCCAGGGAGGAGCAGAAGGGGCCTGGCACTCTGTTCCCATTACATATACTGATTCATACCTTTTGCTTTACTTCCTGCCTTCACTCATACTTTCCCACAGTGGAGCAATACTCCATACATACTTTCTTCCTGCCTGAAGGTTTCCCCACCCTGTTGATAGCTGTAAAAGTGCTCTGTTGCCTATGGGGAATCAGGGAATCTTCTCCTTGCTCTAGTTCATGTGATATGTTATTCCGCCTCCTGTGAGCACTTGGGAAGTCAGCTGCAGCCCAGGGTAGGGGCTAGCCAGGCTCTCAAAAGCTAGCCTGATTTCCTGGCTGAGGCTCAGTGGGAGTGGGAGTCAAAGGCCCCAGGTTGTGTTCCTGACTGGCTATGTGAACTTGGAGAAATCCCTCTGCCTCACAGAGACCATCTGTGCAACAAAGATAAGAACCTGCCTCATAAGGATCACAGAAGCCTTAGAAAGCAGGGTTGAAAGAGGCCTGAAGCAGTCCATCATCATCACTGGCAATCTCTTGCACTCTAGGTGGAGTGTCTTCCATGATTGCTTTATCTGTAGGGCCAAAGATGGCTGATGAGACCAATCTAGGATTGACAGACTTTTGCAGCCTGGGCACATGTTTCTGTGAGAAGTGAGTGAATCTGGGTTCTTGGTTCAGTCCACAAAATATTGTTTCTGCCGCTCCCACTTTTCCATCTCCTGTTGTTGTCATCTAGTTTCAAAGTACTGAGATCCTTGCAGCAGACTCTTCCTCCATTTGGGTTGGTCCTGGGTGATAGTCTTTCAAGTTGGCCTTGAGGACATCCTTGAAGCACTTTCCCTGCTCTCTTCTTGAGCATATGCCTTGACTGAGCCTGGAGAATAAAACTTGCTTCAGGAATCTGGAGTCAGGCATCTGGAGGATGTGGCTGGCCCAGTGAAGTTGATGTTGGATGATCATTGCCTCGATGCTCATAGTGTTTGCTTGCAAGAGGACGCTAACATTGGTGTGTCTGTCTTCCCACTGGATTTGAAAGGATCAACTATAGCTACATGCTGTGGGGATCGTTCTTTCAGATATTTAAAGTCCTCTGAGATCCTGATTAGAAAAGGTGCTACAGAAACACACAGCATCAATGACAGTCCTGTCATATATTACTACCCATTATTAGTCTTTATGCTGTAACTGGGTTTTGCTGCTCCACCCCCACCCAGTCTCCCACATCATTGAGCCCTCAGCAGGCCAAGGGGCTCCCCTTCCCCATTACAAAAGCACATCTTGGCCTGGGATTAGGGAACCATGGGCACCAAGGGGGTGAGTGAGCACTGCTGTCAGATTTGTGGCAGTGAGGTCACCCTCTAACAGCCTGGATGGGGAAAGCAGAAATGACCCCAAGACACAGCGGCACCCAGGACTGACAGGGTGGAAGTAAAGCAGACCAGTTTAGTTTAAACACATATTTGCTTTTCTTGAGTAAATCTTTCTGTGGGCGCTGGGGATTCATGGTAAATGGAGCACAGGTGGGATAGTAACAAGGATATAAAGCTGACTGCAATGGGAATTACGGGTTTATTTGCAATGGTAATTAGGCACTGCGTCTTTAAAGCCAGGAGGGATTATGGGAATTCCAATCACATATAAGAAGGTCCGGAAAGTCACCTAACTTAATTTTGGCTTGTAGCCTACTGGGGTTCATATCAGGTTAAAGATGGCTCTGAGTTTAGCAGATGCTAAGCTCTCAATGGCCATGTAAACCATGCACGTTCCTCTGATATGAGCTTGTTTGGCTGCAGTGCCTGAAATGTTTATTAATGCAAGTTTTTGTTTTTAATTTGTGTGGATGTTTTTTGTTAAGTCAGAGAATGTAGTTCTGTGCATCTGAATGATGATGAGCCTGAATCCAGTCAGTCGTTACAGATCCCCTGGCCTTTCTCAAATGCAGCTTCTCCCTTCCTGTGTGCTCATCCCCTCAAAAGCTGCAGCCACCTGGCTCCAGAGATAGCAAAAAGTTGGCTGTGCAACATCTTCTCTCAGCTTCCTTAGACTTCCTTAAGGATCAGCAGAGTCCCAGGGTGGCTCCAGGGATGGTCTGTCATTGGGAAGCACAGTAGGATAAGTGGGCTAAGAAGACTTAGGTTGGAAATGGGTTCAAGGCTAATCTATCCTCCTGTTGAGTAGGGGTCGAACATTATGTAGAGCAGTGGTTCTCAACCTTTTTTGTACTAGACACATTTGTAAACATCAGTAGCCAGTCCTGATCCAGTAAATACTGTACTTTCTACTTTAAGTAGAAAACAGTCCCCTGGCTCTGCTGGTGCCCCTCACTTCCAACCCAGAGCCCCACACCCCCTAGCCCTGCTGGTGCCTCTCACTCCTGACCCACTGCCCCCCAACCGCAGGCCCCAGCTTGTGTGGGGCAGGGGGTGGGTGTGTGGGGTGGGGGTTGTGGGGCATGGGGGGTATGTGCCCCCCAGATTTGTGCACCCATAGCAGGCATGGAGCTGCAGCTTGGCCAGACTGGCACCCCATCCTGCCCATCCTGAGGGGGGTAGCAGTGGTGGCCAGACCATGGGGGCAGAGTAGAGCCATGGCCCTGCACACATGCAGCTGGTGGCGGGAGGAGTTGAGGGCAGTGTGCCAGCCCCCATCCGTTACTCCTTGCAGTGCTGGTGGTGTGGCTGGCATGGGGGTCCTGACAGTGGCGGTGGCAGCAATCAATCAGTCATGCCACCCCACTCCACCCTCTTGCACTGGGTCCTGCCCACTAGGTCATGGAGGCAGCAGCTGACCATGCTGCCCTGGCCAGGCTCCGGCCCTGTGCCTGTTGTGGGCACACAAATCTGGGGTGGCACATTGGGGAGGCCCCCTGACACATTGCCCATGCCCTTGCTCGCTCTGAGTCCCACAGACTTACCTGCAGACAGCTGCGGGAACTGCTCTTTGTGCTGCCTGGCTGCCACATGCACTGCCTGATAGCCCTCCTCCCTCTCCCCCCAGCCCCAAGCAGCCCCTTGCAGGCTGGAACTCTCTCAGCCTGCAAGGGGAATCCTGCAATTTCCCCCAGTTTTTTCCTTTAAAGCAGAATCCATTTTTAAAATTTGCTAATGAATTTTTCGTATATTCCTGTGATCCATTTGTGGGTTGCAACCAACAGGTTGAGGAGCGCTGATGTAGAGCCTTGTAGAATTGGCACAGGGTTCTGGTTGCTCCATGGCTACGTTCACCAGTGCCGTAGAGACAGCAGAGTACATTTGTGGGAATGGAGAAGAGCAACTGAGGCTTTCTTCAGCCTTGTAATTTCTCGCAGCTGGGGTGGTCCATAGGGGCTTTTAGCAGTAGGCAGGCAGAAGTTAGAACATCCCCAAGACTGCTCTGATTTGACCCAGACCCCTGCAGTTTGAAGACAAGGGAGGCACAAAGGTAGTGTAAAGCTTTTCCTTGGTCCAGTGCTTAGCAGAGTAGGGGCACTGGGAAGAGGTAGTCCAGGATGCACTGGCAACATTCACTTCAAAACTGAGTCAGTTTCCCATCAGGTTTTAAGTGGTGATGTGGGTAGGGCTGGGTGTTGGAGCTCATGGCACATGATCTCAGTACTGTAGCAAGGGAGGGGCGAGCGGGGCAACCGCCCAGGGCGCCAAAGTGAAGGGGCGCCAACAGCCAAGTCACGAGTCAAGCAGGAGTTCAGCCGGTGAGTCACGAGTTGAGTGGGAGGCTGCAAGGGCATGGCGGGGGCTAGGCAACCAGAGGGGCCATAGCACGGGTGCAGGCTGTGCCTGGCAGCTCGGAGCCTGCTCTGTTGTGGGCCAGCGCTGCACAGGAAGACATGCCCCTCCACAGTTCAGTTGCATGTGATGCAGCCTGGTGTTTCCTACCCTCCCAGCCTGTGGGGGCTGCTTTCTCTGGTGGGTGGTCCAGCCTTGGCACATGGACTCTACTCAGGGTGGGGGACAGAGCTTACACCCAAGTGGTGCTGGAGCCCGTGGGCCCAATGGCTGGGGGGAGGTGGGTAAAACAGTGGCCGTGGGGCCTGCCCTTCCCAGCTGCAGCCCTATTCCAGGAGCGTGGGGAAGAAAGGGCAAAGCCCACCTGGCCACAGCACTGTCCCTTTGCAGCAGCTGGGGGAGAGGGAGGAAGGTGCTGATCTTCGTCTGCCTGGTGCCCAGCTGGGCCAAACCACTGAGGGCTCACAGCTGATTTCCACGCCGAGCTTGGTATTAGCCTAAATGCCCCTATAAAGACTTTATGAGTTTGTTACTTTAATTGCTGACTTGTTACAGAGCACATAAAGAGGGCAATGAATGTAATAAAGGCTTTATTAAAGTTTGGGGATGGTGTTTTTCAGTCCTGCCCCAGGCACAGACTGTATGACCTTCCTGAGCTGCTGAGTTTTTTTATCAGACAAGACTTGCGTGAATGGGAATGCTCATGCTGGCTTTCCACTCTTCTCTGTATTGGTGTCCTGAACTCTCTCTGGGTCCTCCTTGTTTGGGCCTGCAGCCTCTGTCTATAGCTGCTGCTGTTGCTGCTTTCTGTTGTTTTTCAGCCTTGTTATCATCAGTGCTGGGACCTGTCTAGAGGCAGGAGAACAAAGAGCAGCAGCAGTGTGTGTGTGCGTGCACATGTGTGATTGCAGCAGGGTGAGACCTGGCTGGGAAAAACAGCCAGCAACCACCTTGAGCCCAGGGGAAAATCATAAGTGAAGGAAAGGAAAGCCTGTGTGGCTGCTGCTTGTGAGGGCAGAGGGTGCTGTGGGGAGGGTGCTGCAGAGATATACAGCAACCAGATTTTCTTCCTGCTCCAAATGTCTATTGAGAGTTGGGCTCAATTACTCTAATTGCATTTGTATTAAAACCACAGTCGTGTGTAAGAGCAACTCTTTCTCCAGAGGCCCAGCTGCCATTCAGGAGATTGCTTGTAGGGCTCATGAGTGAGGCAGGCTCACCACAGACAACCATAAGAGCAAGAGAGACAATGGCCTTTATAGAATCTCTCCTGGAGGTGTCTTTGGTCCTTACTAATCTTTGTTTAGCAGCTGAAGAGTGCTATAGGCCAGGGGTTCCCAACCACTGGGCCACAGCCCAGTACCAGGCTGCTGAGGGTTGGCTGCTGGGCTGTGGCTTCCATTGCTGGTAGTTATGTGCACCATGTGGGGTTAAAGCTGGGTGGCGGGGCAGCCCCAGGTGGGAGGCAGACGGCTCTGTGCTTCCTGTCCTGCTCCTACAGCCATGGCCGTGCCCAGTGAGGCACTGCATATCCACTAGGTACCCGGGCCCATGCCAGGCTGGGCAGGACCCCCCTGCCCCCCCCCCCACCCATGGCTGGGAGCGGGGGGATGCAAGTGGGGAAATGCCCAGGGCAGAGGATGGGGAGGCAGCCCTGATGCTTGCTCCTAGGAAGGGCAACAGAGTCCCTTATTCCCAGGCAGCCCCAGCTGGGTCCCCTGGAGCCATTGCCTGTGCAGCCCCCCTCCCTGCAAGGTCCCTTGGTGCCCCAACCTGATCCAGTCCTCACAGCCCCACCCCCCATTTTCAATTTAAATATGTAAATTAAATGTAAATATGTACATTAGATAGTTTGCCAGTCTGTGTACAAAAAGGTTAGAAACCCCTGCTATAGGCTTTACAAGGGTGTAGGTTGTAGCTGTGTTGGGTAAATCTGATATCTTTTATTAAACCAACTGAAATAGTTGGAAAAATTCTTAGCAAGCTTTTGGGTTTAAATACTTTTCCTCAGGCTGGGGAAGCGTCTGCAGTTGGTGTGTGCTCTTCCTGGATGGAATGAATAGTAAAGAAGCTAGAGGCTGGTATGCATGCAAGAAAGCCAGTCAGTGAAGATGTAAATTGAGGAGTTAGTGGGTGAGAAACAGGCTGGAGGGGGACAGGAGTGGGGAAGAGGAATGAATGTAGCTGGTAAACAGTGGAGAGGTACCTGGGGACTCAGATGTCAGGCAGGTTATAATGTGTCATAGATCTAATGTCTATATTTAGTTTTTTGTATCCAGGAGGTTGATGAAATGAAGTTCATAGGTTCGTCTGTGAAAAGTGTCTTGTAAATCCCTTTGAGGATTAGAACTGAGAGATTGGAGAGAGTGGTCTTCTTGTGAGAAATGTGCCCCCACAGGTAATTGGGTATTCTTGTCTTTGATAGATTTCTGGTGTGTGTTCATTCTGGTATGCAGTTGTTGTTTGGTCTCTCCTACGTATTTTCCATCAGGGCATTTGGTGCATTGGACGAGATATATAACATTTCTGGAGGTGCAGCTGTAAGATCCAGGAATGCTGGTGGTTCTCTTGTGGGGTGTAATAATTGTGGGGTTGGTGGAGATATGTTGACAGGTTTTACATTTCTTGTCATGACATGGTCTGGATCCATATAGTGTGTTTTGGGCCTTTGGAAGTTTGCTTCTGGTGATGAGGTTAGCAAGGTTCAGTGCGTGTTTGAAGGCTAGGATGATTCTGGGAAGATCTCTTTAAGAATTGGACGTTCTTCTACTATGGGTTGTAATTGTTTGAGGATTTTCCGTATAGGTTCGAGGGAGGGGTGATTTGTCATGACCAGTGGTTTGTGATTTGTGTGGGTTTTCCTTCTGTATTTCAGCAATTCTTCATGTGGTATCTGGGTGGCTCTTTCAAACGTGTGATCTGTCTCTCTGGATAAGTGTCCTTGTTGAGTGAAAGCCTGTTCGAGATTTGTGAGGTGACAATCCTGGGTGTTCTCCTCAGTGCAAGTTCAGTGATATCTGAGGGCTTGGGTGTATATTATGGCTTTCTTGGTGTGTTTAGGGTGATTGCTGGTTCTGTGAAGATATGTATTTTGGTCTGTGGGTTTCTTGTATATTGTGGTCTGTATTTTACCATTCTGGATAGTGATCATTGTGTCTAAAAAGGCAATGTTGGTGCTGAAGTATTCAAAAGATAGTTGGATGGAGGGATGATGATTGCTGATTTCTGATGGAATTCAATCAGAGATTGCAGGTTTTCAGTCCAAATGATGAAGATGTCATTGATGTATCTTAAGTACAGTATAGCAAGGGTTTGATGGTGCAGTTCTTGAAGAATTCTTCTTCCAGGTGGCTTATAAAAAGGTTGGCATACTGTGGGGCTATTTTGGTGTCCATAGCTATGCCCATGGTCTGGAGGAAATGTTGGTTATTAAAAACGAAACTGTTGTGTGGGAGGATGAATGTTGGAGTCACCATTGCTCCACTGAAGTGGTTTAAGCAGAAAGGGAGGCTTCTCTGGGCAGGACACTAGCTAATGTCTAAACGCCTTCCCAGTGGGCTCAAGAACTTGGCCCCTCAAAGGTTTTTTTTATTTTCAGTTGAAAAATGTTTTTTTGTGGAAAGTTTTTGACCATCTCTTGTCCTTTCCAGCTGCTGTCTGAGGCTAAGCATCTCTTCTGCTGAAATATTAGTGTCATTTTCAAAAATCAAGAGACTGACTCTTAAAAATCAAGAGATTTGGTACGTAAATCATGACATACTATTTTTGAAGTATAGACCAATATACATATATTGACCGTTGGTTTACAAATCCCATTAGTCACTTATTTAACTTTTAATAGGTCAGAGATTTATACAAAAACTGTATTCCTAACTCAAAATTATGCAGGTACAACTTTGTATAGTTGGGTGTGTGGGTATAGGGTGTGTGTGGGGGTTATTTGTGAAGGTGTGGGGGGGGGCTGTGGATGTGTGTGTGGGGCTTGGAGCCCAGGGCTGGGAGGGGTGTGGTCCCTGCACACCTTGGCAGGATGCGGGGTACAGTGGATCAGGAGTGCGAGGCAACAGCAGGGCTTGCGGGGCTGTGATTTGGGAGTGAGGGGCAGGCACACAGACACAGACAGCATCAGGCCAGTCTGTGGAGGGAAGGGGCAGGGGGAAAGGGAAGAGGCAGTGAGGGGCAGATCAAGGACCCCACAGTGAGGGAGGGTGTAGAGCAGGGGTGAATGGGGCCCCGGGGTGGGTCATGCAACAGAGCTGCAGGCAGATTTAGAGGTATGGAGGGGGAGAGATGGGGGGGGTGAGGAGTATGTGCACGCATCCCCAGGGGAGGCATGGGGGGTATGTGCCACCTGGATTTGTGCACAGGGAGGAGACGGGCTGTCCACTGCAAGCTGGGGCTCTGAGCCCTGCTGCCTTTGCCCTGGGAACCGCACAACCCCATGTTCTGCGTTCTACCACTAGGCAGGCAGGGGACACTCAACATGACTAGCACATGGCTCCCAGGGCAAAGGCAGCAGGGCACAGAGACCTTTCCACAGTGACCAGCCCACCTCCACCCTGCAGACATATCCGGGAAGCACATGCTCCCCATGCCTCCCCCAGGGGGGTGTGCAGCAGTGGGGAGCCGCACCCTCCTTCACCCCCCACCCCCTCCCCGTGACTCTAGATTAGACACCTGTGGCTTTGTCACATGACCCGCCCTGGCCCTGGGGCCCCATTCACCCCAGCCCCTGCCCCACTCCTCCCTTCACCATCGGGGCCTTGAGCTGCTTCTCCTGCCCCGTCCTTCTCCCCTCCACCCCTTCCCTCCACAGGCTTACCTGCTGGGTGCTGCTCTACATGCCCCAGAAGAAAAAAAATCTTGAGATTTCAGAGTTTTATCACAAGATCATGAGTCAGACTTAATTTTATTTAGAAATTGCAAGTCTCGTGATAATTTCCCAAGATTGGTGTTACTGCATGTATAACCACAAGAAAGGGGACAATCCCAGTAGTGTGAAACCATAGCCTACTGAACCGAGCAAGGTACAAATTCCAGCTCCAACTTCCCAACTATGGTGCTTGTCAAGCCACATAGAACAACATTTTAAAAGTTGAGCTCCCAAAATTAAACACCCACATCCACAAACACTGAGTACCTCTAACTCTTCCTGACTCCTTTGGGACCTATAGGTGCTGGGAATTCCTGATAAGCTGGCTTTTTTGATTCTGGAGCTCAAATATGAATTCCCAGTTTAGAAAACATGGCTTTACCCTCCCTGTGCCTCTGTTTCCAGGTCATTATCCTTTTCTTTTTATGCTGACCCATCCTCAGTCCTTTCTTTCCCCCCACTTAGACTCCTTTCACTCCTAATACACTGCTACAGTCTGGTGCTCATCTGTGATGCAGGTATGGTGAAAAGAAACATGTATGGTAACGCTCAGTCCCGGCCATTAGTTGGCTGCACAGAGTGGTAACAAACCCAGATGGCAGTAGACTCACCCAGAGAGGTGCAGGAGTACTCCACCCGAAGTTTAGAACCAATAGTTTAGCTCAATTGGCTAGCGCATGATGCTAAGAAAACTAAAGTTCCAGGTTTGAATCTGTGGTTGGATTAAATGATCTTTTGAGGTCCCTTCTAGCTTTACTTCTCTAGGATAACTACCTGGGAGGAACAATGGCATTTCTATTCAGGTGGTGCTAAG